TCAGTGAGTGCTTCATGGGCTCCGGGGTCCTGCTAAGCGTAGACATCTCAAAGTTGAATTTAGTAATGTTCAGATACTTGGTTGCCTCCCCCCTGAGCCCCACCCAAACACAGGACCAGGAAGGCCACCCTAGTTGCCCAATTCACACGACAGACCTGCTGAGGGAATGCTCTCGGAAAAGCATGCCCAAACTAAAAATGTGTATACAAGCTATCCCCTTCCAAGTAATAATGGTAAGAGACGACGGTAAGGGAGCTCAGTCATATTGAACTTTGTACAAAGATAATAAAGGGTCGATGCGTGTAAGATGGGCTAACATAGCTGTGAAGGGTGGCTGGAGGGACTGGAGAGCTTCACCAGTGTGAGAGGCTTATCTGCATTAACTGACTGTGTCAGAATAAGCTGAGAACCACTGAGATCCAACCTAGCCTTTCCTTTCAGACTCAAATCGCAAACACACCGATTGCTTAGGTGTGCTGCCATCTACTGACCAAACTTGTGCTGTAGGCAAGTAACAAAGGGGTTACAGCAAAAAGTGACGCAGACACGCGAGCAGGACCTGGTAACGGAAACCAAACCAAAATAAAACAAACACACCCTGTGGGCATGCTGGTGCTGACATCCCCTGGTGACTGCAGAAAGCGTTCCGCAGCTGATGGTGGCCTAGGATGGCATCTGTCCGGCCCTGCCAGCAAGCAAACCCGAACAGTGGGGTGAGCCTACACAGAAAACTCAGATATTCCACATGCACATATACCAGTACATGAATTCCGTCCCCAGGTTCCCTCACAGTGTAAAGAGTAGCTACTACGCTTGTGTGTGAACTGACGTTGCTTTATGGTAAAAACAAGCTGGAGAAAAGGGTGTGTGTGACACCAGGAATGGCTCTGAAAGATGAAGTGCTCTCACCTCACCCCCTCTTCTCGCCGCCCGTACCCCCCACCCCCTTGCCCCACCCTCTGTCAAACACCTGGAGAAAGCGAGCTAGAGGAGTAAGGCATTCCAACCATCTCTAAGGCCAGCTGAAACCATCTGACTGCAGGGGTCCCAGTGGCATCGCAAAGGCACAGGGACAGTGAGGAAAAACGAAGAGTAGAACAGATGCAAACCTAAAACGTTAATGGGATCTTTATTATACAGCACACATGGTATTTATGCATCCCAACAAGTACACAGATTCTATAAAACCAAACCCAACCATTCAAAATTACATGAAATGAAGATTGAACCCATAGTCGGGTCTCATAAAAATACAACGAACGTGTTCCCACTGCTAACGTTATTATGGAAAGAAACAGGCAGCTCAAGGGAGTATGTACGGCCTGGAGCTGGTGCCAAAGTAATTTTCTCTGGTTATTGCACTTTTATTCTATACACTTAGTATGTTACACATTTAACACTGTAATAAACATTAGTCCTTTAAAACAAACAAAACATGACACAATGACAAAGACAACTAGCTGTCCAACCAATTTTCTTCTCAACCCTCCGGGGGCTTCCCAATGCCAGGTGTCCACACAGTCTCTAATCATCTCAACTGGACTGGATGTTAACGAAGCAGATGAAGATAAAAACGAAGCCCTCCTAAGGGCAGTAGTGCTACTCGAAACCTCCAAGGGAGCCGTCGAGTTTCTCAGTGTCACTCCCTCCTCACCCGCTTTGACAACATCCAAACCCAGATTTAGAAGGAAAAACTCTTTTTTTTCTTTTTAAAGGAAAAGTGGGCTATTTGATTCAGCAAAACAAAAAATTAAGCTTTGAAACCTCAAGGAAAGTGCCTACCCTTTGGTGGTGGACCTGAAGGCCATTCATCCCACCCTAATGCGGCATCTCCCAGATTCAGCAGACAGGGCACCGAGCATGCTTCTCCCCAAAGCAAGGCTAGCAGGGTCTCTACTCCCAAAGGGCCACTGTAGTCGCCTATCCCTTGGGCTTCTCAGTGCTAAACAATGAGCCCGAAAATAAAGTGACGGTCAGTGAGGTTATTACCCTTCTGCAGCCCTGCCTGCCCGAACCGAACCACTCCCCCATCAGGAAGGAACCTCCAACCCCTCTGACAGCTCCAGCAAACATGCAAAAAAAAAAACCAAAAAACATGCACTGGAGAGCTGCCAGACACGAGTGAGAGTTCTATCATTGCCCTACTTCTATCCATGGCAGTAATGCATCCTTTCCTTCAGTGTTTCCTTGAATTTTAGTGTTAAAAGGCAGGAGAAGCTGCTGCTAGGCTCTGTTCCCTTGAAACTGTTAGAGTCACAAGCAACCCTCTTTGGTCGGGAAGAGCCAGCACAGAGCTCCTTCCCAGAGACGGGAAAGGCTTACTCAACGAGATCTGTCTGCGGAGGACCAGGAGCCTGGGGCATGCCTGTGGGACCTGACCTACACGGGCATTCCTCAATGACGCCCGACTGCGCTCGCTGCCAGCCCCCTAGGCACAGCGTCAGCTGCTCTGGGGCCCCACCATGCCTTCTGATGGCTCTGCAGGAAGGTCCCTCACTCAGTTCTGAAGCAACGTAAGTGACCAGACTTTCAGCCTATTAAAAATGGCCAGGTGGTCATTTTTGGGATGGGGTAAACTGTCCTAATTAACTTGATTTGAAGGACAGAACACAGTGAGGGTACTTCTTTCACTGCATCCTTCTTCCTTCCCCAGACACAATCTCATTCACCACTTGGAAGCGAATACAACTGAGGCTCAGAGGTGAGAGAACTTTGCTCTTGCTGAGTCCTAGGGCTTAAGGGCCACTGGACTTCTTTGAATAGCTAGTGTCATCCCAAAGAGCGTACAATACAGTACATTTCATGGCATTCCATCAGTTTGATAATAATGGTGCTAAGGCACAAAGAATCCAAAATTAGCTGACAGTGTTATAAAACAAAAGTTAAGTATACACATTACACACATGTATTCCTGCACTCAGCCTGCTGAGTGTTCAAATGATACCTCCAAGAACCTCTGTGTGGACTCCGGCTGGCCTGGAGACTTTTAGGAATGTCCTGTACCTTTTCCTGCAGTCCTTTTTTTCAGTGAACTGTAATACAGTTACTCCCCTCCTTACTTAACAGTAGTCCCTCCCTGCCTCCTCACTCCGGCAAAACATGTGGGGAATTCTGCTAGAAAAGTGGTGTCTGAGAAGAGACTAAGCCACAGGGGATAAGCTGAACAGGGACTCAGGGTGCAGAAAAAACTAAACTCCCATGTGTACCTGGGAGTACGACCGAAGACTTCCAAAGAATGTTAGGTATGTGGTCTCCCCAGTGGGAGCCAGACAGTCCTGATTACATACGGAGTTAAAAGAAGACAGTCTGGCAAAAGGAGCTATATAAGCCCTTGCCATTTCATACGGAACAGACTGGTACTGACTTTTTGGCAAGTGGATGCTGCTCACCTCTCCCTTTTGAACCAGTCCCCAGAGGGCATGAGTTAATGCTGAGCAAGGGTTAAACATTCTAAAAGATAAGCTGAGCACTGCGCCGACACAGCTGCAGCCTGCAGAGCCCAATGACCCTGGGTCGGTCCCTCTATCACTTGCAAATAAAAATGTGTCTAGCACTATGTGAGGTTTCTGAAGGGCTACCAGGGCTCAGGGGGCGACCTCGCTCAGACCTGTCATAACAGAGCCCAGGAAAGCCAGGGTTAAAGCTGAACTTTAAAAGTTGTATCAAAAATTTCTCGCAGACTCCCTCCATTTATACCATCGGTTACATTCAAGAGGTGGTCATTCTGTCACCAACAACCCTAGAAAATTCCAGCACAATTCCACCCATCAGCTTACACACCCACCCAGGGACCTGCTTTACAGAGTTTGGGGCTAGGCACAGGGGACAGACAGACCACAGGACTGGGGACCAGGCAGATGGACGGAGGTTACTCGCCTCCACTGTCTGTTCTGTCACCTGTTTTTCTAAATCTAACAGACCTTTTTGGTTAAGGGAGGCCTGAAGCCAAGATCGGAGACGCACCAGTGTTTCACCGCGCTCCTCCTTCCTCTGCCCGGAATCAGAATCTCTTCTGTGCACTTCATGACAAACTCTCCAAAAGAGCCTCAGCCCACCTCCCAACTGCAAGGGCGGGGCCCCTGCCCGGACCCCAATGCCCAGGGGCAAGAGGCCCACAGAACTACAGAGGGCGCTCTTCTCATTCACCTGCCTCTTTTCTTTAGCGTAGAAAGAAGGGACAAGTTGCAGAAGAAACCTAGTTAAAAAGCTCATTAATCAAGTTTAAAAAAGAAGAGTTTCTGGTTTTTTTAAGTTTTAAAAACAAGCTAGTATCCTTCTGAAAGGTTTGCGTGTTTGTGTGGGGGCTCGAGGCCTCCAGATCCCTGCGTGCTTCTGCAGTCTCACCAGACAGTTCACGCTGGGTCAGCTCTACTCAGACACTCACCCCTAAGTACTGTGTTAGCTGGGCCTCCCACATCTTGAGACCAAAAAGAAAACAAAAAAGAATAAAAATCAAGACTCAAGGGTATAAGAGATTCCGTTCTGAGGTGGTGAGCAGTAACTCGAAAGCCAAGAGCATACACGCACAGACACACACACTCACATACAAACACACACACGCTTCTCTTTTTCCTGTGGCCTCTTGGTGATATACCTGTGAGCCTCTCCCCCAGAAATCAAGGCTCCATGGGCCTAGAAAAGGAACACACTGGTGCTGTAAGGATCAGAGAACTTCGTTTCTACTTCCCCGGGGCCTCTGGCTGCTGCAGCCTAGCATCTCTGGCTGCAGATAGCAGGATCCAGATGTTCACTAGTTGCACACTTGTGCCTATGTTCTTACAAACCCAGAAGTCATCTCAAACGTTCTAAGGGTCCTGACAACTGGATAAAACAAAACTAGTTCTACTAGAGCAAAATTATGAAAATTATGGTTTTTCATACTTTTGCCACTGCAGTGTCCCCCCTGTCTCCGAAACGTACACTGAACACACAATGGTAAAATTTGCCTCCTTTTCGGTTCTGAGGCCAGAACATTGCGTTCTTCAGCTTTACACACAATGGTAAAATTTGCCTCCTTTTCGGTTCTGAGGCCAGAACATTGCGTTCTTCAGCTTTCACACATGTCCTGGACAATCTTTTGCTAAAGGAATAGCTCAGGGCATCAGTGAGCTAACTGCTGAATATGCTTCAACAGCCAGCTCTTCACTCCCCAGGAGTCCCTTCTGCCTGGGACGGTCTCAAGTTGCCCAGCAAGCATCAGTTCCCTCGGGAGCTCTCTGTAACGACTACACGTCAAACTCTTCCCATGGCCAAAGGTGAGGGGAAGGAAAGAAAGAGAGAGTGAAAAGAGAAAGGTCTTTGCTTTCACGTAGAATCATCTAGTCCTCTGCTCGGCCTCTCACAATTTGACTTGCACAACCGGTCCATGATGCCCTGCAGCATGGGCTGGACGATGCCCAAAAGAGGTCTCTGAGAGGGGTCACCATCCCAACAGGCTTCCATCAACTGCCAACACTCCTCATCAAACACAGGAAGACGTTCTGGGCGGGCTCCTAGAGGAGAGTGCATGGAAATAAGACCACGGGGGCGAGAGGCACCAGTGCAGCACAGAGGCAGGCTCAGCTCCCAGGCTCGTCGCCAGGTGGGGCTCAGGATGCTGAGGAAGGCAATGGGCTTTGGCTGCAACTGTAAACATCTAGCTTAGAACCAAACAGCAATGCTGATGAAAAGCTGGAATATACATAGGAAGTCGAAGAATTGGAAAGTTAGAAGGAAAAAGCCCTTTGGAGACATGTCCTTACAATGCTGCCTAGAAGCCAAGGTTTGACTTCTATGTCTTTTCTGGATTCTGTGGTGGTTTAAATGTCTATGTGATCCCACTGCGGACTGGCCGGGCAGGGGGACAGGAGGCCCTGCCTCAGTGCCTGGTGTCAGCCTGCTCTCTACAGGGAAGTGAGGACAAAGCAGGTCTTGTGGTTCTCACCTCTTCGCACGTTGTTCCAGAGGTGGTCTTTACTGGCACACCTCTCAAACGCCTCAGGGAGCTTGATGGAGCCTGAGCAGATATACCAGAAAAGAATGCCAAAAGCGTAGACATCCACGGAATTATCATATTTCCCTACAACAAGAAGGAGGACAAGGAGTGAGCCAGGGAGAGAAATCAGCACGTCACCACTAACTTGCATCTGCAGAGGTCTTTACACTTTTTTTCCCTAAAGCTTTTAGCATTTATTCTGTCGTAACAACCCTGAGAAGTGGGACACATTTTATGGCACCATGAGGTCAAATATTAAGAAGGCCAAGACTAGAACCTGACAAGAGAAGGAAAATAGGCCTTTTATTTTAATGGAGCAGTTGAAAAGATTAATCCTGAAAGTTAGTAAGTTGGGAGATACATACAGGTGGGTGGGTAGGTTGGAACCAGAAGGTAAAGATTTTTGAAGTCAGACAGAAAAGACTGGATTCTCTGGGCAGCAGGAAGTCATTTATATTTTGCAGCAAGAGATAAATGAAGAAAATATTTCAGAAAAACTGTTCTGACAGCAAAAGAAATAATCAAAGGAATTTTAATTAGAAATAGCCAAAATAAAACAGCAGCAGCGGGAACAGAAATTTTGGAAAAAAAAAAAGTAAATCTAGAGAAAGAAAAATGGTAATGGTGCATTTGGTTCTGACGTGGGTACTGGCTGCCCAGCTATGCTCTGGTGATCCTCGTGCGCGCGGCTCAGCGAAAGGCAGAGGAAGACATGCACATGCAGGTGACGACAGAAGTCCAAATACACTGCTAATCTTAACTACAAATACGAACGTGTGGCCCTGTTTACCTTCCAATTCCCCTCAGAGATCCCAGCCCTAGGTCCCACAGGTTCAAAACCCTGGAGTCATCACTCATTCCTGTCCATCGTCCATACTGAGTTAGTCACAAAATCCTGCCCATTCTTCCTCAGAATCAATCTCATGTCTGTTACACTGTTTTGTTTCAGCACTACTATCAACCTAACCTGGGGACAACCGCCCCCAGTCTGCTTACCTTGGTTCCTGCCACTCGAATCTCCTCTCCCTACCGATGCTCAGCTGACCTCCCATAAACACTGCTCAGCCCTCACCTGCTCACAAGCTTGGTTCAGGTCTTCACTCTGTAGGAGTTTCAGCCTCAATGTATTTTCTCTGCAACTTTGTTTGCTCTTCTTCCTCAAAAGGATTCTTTCATATCATGTTATTTCTGTTCTGCAATTTACCTCTTATTTCCCTTTTCCCAGACTCCGGAATTTTCTCTCTTTCATAGAGACACATGGTTAGCTCTAGAGACAGCAAGAGCTGGAGTCCAATCCCAGCCCCCATTACTGCTAGCTCAGTGTTTCGGAGTCAGGTTCTTCATTAGTCTGGTCTCAGCTTAACTTTATCCAAATGCCTCAACATCACCACAGAATTATGAGGATTAAATGGAAAAGAATATATGAAAAAACATTTACTGCAAAGCTCAAAGAAATGTATGTAGTAAATGGAAATTCATCCCATGCTCTTGGCTAGGAAGAATTAATACTGTCAAAATGGCCATCCTGCCTAAAGCAATTTACAGATTCAATGCAATCCCTATCAAAATACTGAGAGCATTCTTCAATGAACTGGAACAAATAGTTCTAAAATTCATATGGAACCACAAAAGACCCCAAATAGCCAAAGCAATCCTGACAAGGAAAAATAAAGCAGGGGGGATCTCGCTTCCCAACTTTAAGCTCTACTACAAAGCCACAGTAATCACAACAATTTAGTAATAGCACAAGAACAGACCCACAGACCAGTGGAACAGAATTGAGAGTCCAGATATTAACCCAAACATATACAGTCAATTAATATACGATAAAGGAGCTATGGACATACAATGGGGAAATGACAGCCTCTTCAACAGCTGGTGTTGGCAAAACTGGACAGCTACATGTAAGAGAATGAAACTGGATCACTGTCTAACCCCATACTCAAAATTAAATTCAAAATGTATCAAAGACCTGAATGTAAGTCATGAAACCATAAAACTTTTAGAAAAAAACATAGGCAAAAATCTCTTGGACATAAACATGAGCAACTTCTTCATGAACATATCCCCCTGGGCATGGGAAACAAAAGCAAAGATGAACAAGTGGGACTATACCAAGATGAAAAGCTTCTGTACAGCAAAAGATATCATCAATAGAAAAGACATCCTACAGTATGGGAGAATATATTCNGAAGAAATTCAGATGGCCAACAGACACATGAAAAGATGCTCCACATCCCTAATCATCAGAGAAATGCAAATTAAAACTACAATGAGATATCACCTTACACCAGTTAGGATGGCCAATATCCAAAAGACAAACAACAACAAATGTTGGCGAGGATGTGGAGAAAGGGGAACCCTCCTACACTGCTGGTGGGAATGTAATTTAGTTCAACCACTGTGGAAAGGGGTATGGAGGTTCCTCAAAAAGCTCAAAATAGAAATACCATTTGACCCAGGAATTCGGCTCTTAGGAATTTACCCTAAGAATGCAGCAACCCAGTTTGAAAAGACATATGCACCCCTATGTTTATCGCAGCCCTATTTGCAATAACCAAGAAATGGAAATAACCTAGGTGTCCATCAGTAGATGAATGGATAAAGAAGATGTGGTACATATACACAATGGAATACTATTCAACCATAGGAAGAAAACAAATCCTACCATTTGCAACAACACGGATGGAGCTATAGGGTATTATGCTCAGTGAAATAAGCCAGGTGGAAAAAGACAAGTATCAAATGATTTCACTCATCTGTGGAGTATAAGAACAAAGAAAAAACTGAAGGAACAAAACAGCAGCAGAATCACGAATGGACTAACAATTACCAAAGGGAAAGGGACTGGGGAGGATGGGTGGGAAGAGAGGGACAAGGGGGGAAAAGGGGCATTACAATTGGCACACATAATGTAGGTAGGGGGGACCCGGGGAAGGCAGTACAACACAGAGAAGACAAGTAGTGATTCTATAGCATCTTACTACGGTGATGGACAGTGACTGTAATGGGGTATGTGGTGGGGACCTGATGATGGAGGGAGTCTAGTAAACATAATGTCACTCACGTAATTAAATTAATGATACCAAAATAAATAAATAAATAAAATTAAAAAATAAAAAAGAATGTATGTAGTGAATATGAGTTCCCTCCCCACTTACTGATTTTTCCAATCGGGCTCAGTTCTACCCCAAATCACCCCTTTACCACAAAACTGTCACACACTTCAATCTTATTTATCCCTCTCTTAACACCAACATTACATTATAGAGTGCTTACTCACATCTTGTCTGATATTGCTTTCTAGTTGTTTTACCTTCTTAACCTATCTTTGTCATCTGCAAGTTCTCTGATGACAGGGGACCACTCCTAACATACAGGAGTAATTCAATCGATTAACGTATTGGTTGATTATGGCCATTATGGCACTTCTAGCCCAGAGAGATGTCCAGTGGAATAGCAGGGGTCTCCCCTCTGCACTTTTCTTTCTCACCCCTTCACCTCATTTCCCACTACTTGTCTTTGGAGACTCATTCTGGCTTATTCCTTGCCTGTGCCAGATCTGCCAGTACGAAGGATGCTCCTTAGCCCAAGGGGTAGCACTTGGGTTTAAAGTATAGAGCCGTGCCCGAGCCCACTCTCTGACCTCCAGCTCACCTGTGAAAAGCTCAGGGGCCATATGGATTGGCGTGCCCACGATGCTGCCTGACATCATGGCCTCCGGCTTGCAAAATCCCAAGTCAGTGATCTTGGCACGGTTCTGCTTGTCCAACTGCCAACAAAGCAGGGCGAGAGTCACCCTGTGTCTGGTGCTGCACACAGCCCTTAGCTGCACACTCAAGCACAGAAGTGGGTGCCCACCTCCAAGCAATTTTCACTCAAACCTGCCTGTGGCCTTCCTGTCTCCCGATGCAGTCCCTTCCCTATCTTCTCCCAGACCATAAGCATTGTGATGCCAGGGACTATTATTTTCATCTCTGCATCCCTAGCATTTAGCACAGGGTCTGGCCCATGTCAGGAGCTCCACAACCTTGGGATGCCGAGTAAGTGAAGTGAAGTTGCTAGTAAGAAGGCTGCGGTCCTCTGGTCAGCCAAGGAGACTTACTTGAATTCCTTGTAATTTCCTTTCCTAAAGGTCCAAGGGAATAAACCTATGTCTCATTTGGCTATTGATAAGCCTCTTAGGTGTCAGCCTATAATTTTGGGAGGATCCTTCCCCAAAGCTGCTGTCATCTTTATGCATCATTTAAGCATTGCCAGAGACATCTCAGTGATAATGGGATATATTTTCAAGAGGAGTATGTAAAAAAAAGATGCTTTATAATTTAGATAAAAGGACTAGTGGGTTCATTACTATCTTGCCTTTTATGGTGGATTTACCCATCTCAGCCCTCATCCAGTATCTCTGATCAACCCTAAGCAATAATAAGACCTGCAGTCCTTGTATCAATGTCACAAATGCAAAAAAAAAAAGGCACAAGGACTATTCTAGATTAAAGGAAGCTAAAGAAACATGACAACAAAATGTACTGTATGATCCTTGGACTGGAACCTGGATCAAAAAACAGATGGACAATATTTGGGATAACCGGACACATTTGGGACAACTGGAAAATGTTAGTATAGACTGTATATGTAATAGTCTTAGAGCAATGTTCAATTTCTTGGGTGCGATAATGGTATTTTTATTACATCAAAGCATGTCCTTTCTCTTAGGTGATAAAGCTGAAGTATTTAGGAATGGAGTGTTGTCAACAATTTACTGTCACGTAGTTCAGCAAAAAGGTGTGTGTGGAGGGGTGGGGGCTGTGTATAGAGAGAGAGAGGAAGAGAGACTGCACTAGGAGAAAAAAAGAATATGAACCTGGGTGAACAGTATATGGATCTTCATTGTACCAGGCTTTTAACTTTTCTGTAAGTTAAAATTTTTTCAACAGTGTTGGGAGAAACAACCTTGAGTGATACAAGCTCGGTCTATGATGCAACTCCTTCCTAAGCTTTCAGTCTAAGATAATATCAGTCCACTCTGTTAACTCTACTACTTTCCCTCCAGTCTTTCCCTGTGACCAACGTACACTTAACATGTACCCTCCAAAGGTCACATAACCCACAGAGGTGGGGTGCTATCTGGGGGAAACAGCTCTTACATACCAGCACATTTTTCAGTTTGATGTCACGGTGCACAAGGCCCTGGCTGTGCAGGAAGCGGATTCCTTCCACCACATCCAGGGCTACCTGCAAACGTGTTTCCAGCATCAGCCCAGCCTGGGGAGACAAAAGGGCTTACTTGTTACGAACAAGACAACTCAATCCAGCCTGCTCACACCAACTAGGGGTTCCTCCGGCGGGCACTCAAAGACCGACTACACTAGGGTACACAGGACAAGAAAAAAGCAGATTAAAAAAAGGGAAGAGGAGAGCAATTGGGAGGAAAAAAACAAGGACTGGTAAGGTCAGATACAATCCCTTGGAAGTTGCATCTGGGCCAGCTAGACAGTCCCCAGATGCAACTAGGAGAGGGGCAACCCAGTGGCCGAAGGTCTGCACTCATTTCTACCCTGACAGATTCTGGAGCTGCCTTGAGGCTCAAAGTATTTCTAGGTCTCTCAGGCAGATTTACTTCTGTTGCTTTGCAGGCCTGGTTAGCCAAGGTCTGATCCTATGGATCTGATCCCATAGGACACTCATCCTATGTCTACTAAGCCTCCACTTTAGGGTCTCTTAATTCTGGAGAACCATCCGACAGTGCTGAGCTTAATTCCTCTGCAAGAAAGAGGAGCCCCTTGAAAAGTCATACTGATTTCTCATGGCTCCTGAGAATACTTCCAAGGATTCCTCTGCCTTACTTCTGGAAGCTTCCATGTAATCTGGTACAAGGTGCATCTGTGAAAAGGGATACTCAGTCCCAGTGTATGGAACAGACAAGAAACCTCTCTACTTCCCTTCGGCTGGTTGTTTTAGATGAAGGAAAGTCAACTTCCAACTGAGGGTATTTCATCTTCACTCAGAGTCTCCCAGTAGCTCCTCATTGTCTAACAGAGCTAGAATTCTGTAGACATTCCTGACTTTGGTCTTCTGTAATTTGTTCCAACATTTCTTTGCACATATGTCCCCACTGTTCCCAAAACAAACCCGCTGTTCCAGCACAGCTGGTGTCCTCCAAATGCTCTGGGCCTTACGCTGGTCCTTCCCCTGGTACGGCTTCTTTCTCCAACTGCCTGCATTTTACCAAGGTGTTCTTGCAAAACTCAAATGCCACATCGGCATGAACTACTCATTGACTACAATTCCCTTCTAAGCCCCTGGGACACTCACCTCTGATACCCCTCAGGTGCCAAATACGGGGCTTTGGACTAAGTAGTCGCTAATACATATTTGTTCACTAAACAACAAAAATTGGCTTTGTCCACTGAGAGTGAAAAAGAGGAAGAACAGCAGAGTTACCAGAGGCTTTTCCACTTTCTGAGTAGCCTACATCTTACCACCACCACAAGAAGTGTGGTGAACAGCAGTGCTCCAGATATGAATTTTGGAGCAGTGCTCCAAAAAATGAATTCTGAGAAAGGCTTTGTGGAAATACGGGTAATGAAGCTTGATTAAGCCAGCAATGTCTTGCAAAAGCTAGAAGCTCTAAATAACCCTGAGGGGAGGAAAGGCTCAAGCGAGAGGAACCTGGGATCGGGCTGCCAGCCGGACCGCGCTCTCTCCTTGCCCCGCCTCACCTTCAGCCCCGAGTAGAGGTCCCGGTGTAACCGCTCCATAATGAGCAGCACGGCAATGCTGGAGCCGCCCCCGTAGTTGTAGTCGATGACTGAACCGTGGAGATCCACTAGCCGCTCATGCTTTGGCAGAGACCTGGTGGGCAGGAGAAAGGCCTGGGCTCTAAGTCCGGCATAGCGCGCCACCATGGGGGAGGACTAACCTTGAGGCCCACTAAGCCCAGGTCCAGAGGTAACGGCCCTCAGGACAGAGCGGGGGTGAAAAGCATGGCCTCACCAACAGGGACAAGGAATGATGGAATGTAAACATCAACAGGTCTCAAGGACTAAGGAAGAAAGTCAAATGGAAGGATGAGCCCGAGCCATCAGAGTGGTGGGGGCGGGCTGACAAGCACAGTACAGGCCTTGAAGGGAGCATATATCTGGGCCAGACACAGAAATAACGGTCTACAACCTTTTGAGAGGTGGGAATGGACTGAGGTGGCATTCTGCAGCTCTTGATACAAAAGTTACCAGATTTCTGGCTTCTACTCTGATCATTTCCCACAGAGACAGATGAGGCAGAACCTACCTCATGTAGTGAAACTCCAAAGCCAGGTCATTCCAGTGCTTCTCATCTGGGGGGACAACTGACTTGAGGGCACAGGGGAAGTGTCCCCCCCAGTTGTCACACAGGTACACCACACCATACTGGCCCCGGCCCAGTTCCTGTCCCAGTTTAGGTTTATCTACAAGGTATAGAGACAGTGATAAGGCAGGGGGATGAGACTTGCTGGGCAACCTTCCCTAAGGTTCAACACATGGACATGCCTCAAAGCAGGAAGTTATAATTATGCCAGGGGAAGAAATTCTGATGCTATTCAAACCCACAGAAAGTAACCTAACTGGTTGGGTCATGTAATTTGAACTATGCATAAATACAGTAGCAACAAATTTAGGAGTTCAAAAACATACGGAGCTTCGCAAGGAAGCAACCTTAGACGCTGGGATTCTCCAAGGTTGGACATAAGAATGTCAGGTATTCAGACCCTCCTCCAATTAGGGAAAAACAAGGACTCACGATGCAGCAGGACGTCCTGCAAAGAACGGCTTTCCAGAGAAAGGCGGGCCAGGCGGGGAGCGTGATCTTTCCGAACCCTCAACCACAAGTCTTCCGTTTTCTCCAGCCGGCCTGAGTGGCCAGCTTCCAGCTGGGAGGGAAACAGAGAAAAGATGTATGACTTAATCAACTCCCTGGCTGTGGCTTCACCACTTACCATGTAGGAATAATCATATCTAACTAGAGAGATAACTGTTTTTGTAACATAGACAGTGAGCTCTCAGTAAATAGCAATTTTCCTCCTGGATGTATAATGATTTCTACCCACCCTCCCCTCTACACACACATATACCCCCCACCCCCAAAAGGATAAGATGTCACAGAATTGCAAACCAGTATACAAGTTGGAAAGTTATTCCTAAAATACTATAACTTATACAAAATCCCCACCCCTTGATTTTTATTCCTCGTGCAGTAAAATGGGGGGAAATTAACTCCAGGCATTAACTAACTGCATGAAGCCTAAGACTCCTCTCCAATCCACTGGCCAGGACAAATGGGTGCCCTGCCCAACAGAAGATCCCAGACATCAGTTTCTAATGGAGTGACTAAGATCCCTCCATCCTCCCTAGAGTTGAAAATACATATAACATGAAAAATTCATTGATGAAACTTCCTGTAATGTAATAGTATTATTTAACAGAATAGAAAGAAAACAGAGTGACGATTTTTTAAAAATTATATGGAAACCAGCGGGCAAAATATTCCCCAATGGATGAGGTTCTTCTCCACCCGACCCCGCTTGTATCTCCCTTCCTACAAACCCACCTGCCGCAAGGAGGCTGCAAAAGCCTCATGAGAACAGTTGAGCCGCGTCCGGAATTGGCTGCAAATGCTCTTGGCCAACTTGGAGGCGCTGAGGCTCTCAATGGCTTCCTGGGCCACCTTCCTCTTCCAGTCCAGTGTGACGGCAGGTGGACTCACCCACGTGACGCGCAGGATGATCTGCCGGGCGAGGACAGTGAGAACTCGAGGGACGGGGGAAACCACCACCAAGAGGGACCAATGCCCTTCCCTCTCCGGGTCGCCCGCGCACTCGGAGCAGGCCGTTCGGGCAGGAGCTGCATGAAGCCTAAGACTTCTCTCCAGTCCACTGACCTCAGAACCAGGGCTCAGCCCTAAGGGAAGCATCAAAGCCTGCGAGGCCTAATCTATGTGCTCATCGACCCTCAGTCCGTTACATTCAGTCCCAGGGGGTGCCTGATAAACCCCTTTCTGAAGTCAGTGAATAGTAAGAGCCAGATCAGATTCCAGAAAAGAAACCGTACTCATGGCGACCACAACAAAGCTTGGTTCTAAGAAAACGTTTAAGTTGGGAAAAAGAAATATGAAGAGGTTAGTGCAGTAGAGTCTTATGGCTGCATAAAATAACATTTATACATGCTACTCCTAAGAGTTAGAGGGGACACTGTTCATTTTTTTGGGAGAAATATAAACCAGCATTCTCCTGGCAGGCAAACCAGGACACATGGGTGCCCTACACAAACAGAGGATCCCAGACATCAGTTTCTAATGGAGTGACTGAGACCCACTGGAGCCAAGTAGGGGCTGAGACCTATTTCTCTGAGCAACACCTACCTGTTTGATTTGCTCCCACAACATCCTTGTAACCGAGGACCCTGAGTGAAAGGTGACTTCAACATGATAGGCAGCGTTTAAGATCTGAAAGAGAACAGACAGAAGAGAATCAATATGCCCTGAGTAGAGTGGCTGGTTAAAAATTGCAATAATTGATGTTTACTTCAAAAACACAGTCCAGTTTCGAGGTTGCCACATTTATCCCTCAATGTGTGTGCCAAGTCAAGGCTGGCTGATCATCTGTTTTGTGACTATTTGGGCCCCTTTCCTTCACTGTCATTGTCTTGTTCGTCGACTTAACTGCAATTGTACAGCTCACAAGCACCGCCCACAGACATGCCACAGTAAATGTGACAGAAAATCAAAATCAAGTTCAGACTAGATTGGCAAAAGCTGAAGGGGAACTTCTTGGCTAACTTGTAGCTGGGCTTGTGTGCAGCTTCCATGTTGTGTGTCATCTGTGCCATGGTGTCTTACCCACTCTTTGAGTACCTGCTTGAGATAATTACTGGTGATGTGAACTGAGACATCTTGAGACTTCTCCAGGCTCTGCAGGCACCGTTCCAGGGTGCCGACGAAGCTCTCCCGTAGGTAATCCACTGAGCTGATCAGCTTGTTAGCCACCGCCTGATTAAGCCGGGAGATGATGAGTTCTTGGATCTGTCGGATGCAGCATTTGATTTCTCTGGTGCCCACTGGTTCTCCATTCTCAGGGACAATGACATCTATGGAGACAGAGAAATAAGTTAGCTGGCTATGAGGGGAGGGGACAGCACAATGAATAAAAGCATTACCTAATTTAAGCCAAAGAGCTACCATGCAGATGGCTACAGAACATACTGTTGGCTGGTGAACTCCGCTACCTAGGTAAGTAGATCTACAAATGCACAATGTAGTTAATGGAGCCAGACATCTGATCTCCTTGTTCCCAGTTACTCCCCCACCACTGCATCCCCAGGCACCAAGAGTGGCATACCTGGCACACGACAGTCAAATATTTCATTACCTGCTCAGCTTCCCTGCCCGGGCCACCCTTTATCATGGGCATTATGATGCTGGCACTGAGGCTCCAGCGTCTTAAATTAAATTCAGAGACTTCCTAGGATTTCCAGTCAAAAGAGCATTTTTCAGCAACTCCTCCCTATGGTGTGGATTCACCAAAGAGGTATTGTTTTGTTCATGTTTAGAAAGACCTATAAGAAATCAGGCATCCACTGTGGCATCTTGCTGCACTGATGGGACAGTGACTGCATTGGGGTATGGGTGCGGACTTGATGATATGGGTAAATGTAGTAAGCACATTGTTTTTTCATGTGAAATCTTCATAAGAGTATCAATAATACCTTAATACAAATTTTTAAAAAAATAAAATAAAATAAAGAAATCAGGCATCCAATGCTTGCTGAAGTTGACTATATTTTGTTTGTGTCTGTAAGTGTGACACAGCCATACACCATCATTCACACTCATTCATTCTCCAAAGATACAGTTTCTGTGTTATTTGCTGCAAAGCACCGGATGATGAATGGACCCAGATCCTGTTCTCCTTTAATCTCCAGGGTTTTACAAAGTGGTTAGAACTTAAATAACTATAATAAAAGACAAAGTGAAATATGCTAGAAATTTCAGTTACAGATGAAATGTCATGGGAACTCAGATGAATGCAATCACTATTAGCTACAAAAACTAAAGACAACTTCATGGGAAATGTTGTTTGGAAGAGGCCTGGAAGGGTAGGTATGATTTGGAAATTCACAAATTAAAGGCATTTTGGGCTTAGGGCAGGGCTTGAGCAGATAAAAGTAAAGGAAGCATATACAGGGCAGCAAGCACTTGAGACCAGCGGAAACAGAAATCAAAGGAAGGTGCACAGGGGGAAGTAAGACTGGGGAAGTCGGCGAGGGCCAGGCTTTGGAAGACCTCCAACAGGAGGCTCGGGAGTCCGCTCAGTCTGTGGCAGCAGGGGGTCAATGCAGGCGAACTGAAGAGAGGAGACGGCAGGGAGATCAGTTCGGTGACCGTAGTTCAGTTAGGCTAACGAGGGAACAGAAAAGCAAAAGTACATGTGAAATGGGAATGAAGACTCATCAGGACTTGGCAGCGCACTGGATGTGAGGACAGGGAAAGAGAACATTAAAGCACGCGGCGGTTCTGGAGCTGGTCACCAGGAAGACGGGGGCGGCAGCAGGGACGGGAACAGACTGAGAAGCAAGAAAGTGTGGAAATGAAGGCATGGGGTCCAGAATCAGATCGTCTAGGTTCAAATTCTGCCTCTACAATATAGTAGCTGTGTGAGTAAATTACTTCACCTGTCTAAGCCTTAGTTCCTTCATCTAGAAATGGCAATAAACAGAATCCACCTATTGAAGGGGAACTTCTTTTTAATAAAGAGGTTGTTTTTAATAAAACAGATGCCAGGTCCCATGTCAGACATTCTGATTAATAATAGGTCTGGAGTCGTCTTTAGTGGTCTTGACCATCTGCATGTTCAAAAAGCCCCCAAGGTGGTTTGGACATATACAGCCATGACTGAGAACCTAAAGGGTCACTTGCAAACTATGCCACTTTAATTAACAGGTAGTAGCTTCTGCAGGCATGTTTATGCAGCTGCGAGTATACAAAGCCGGCAGCACCTAAATCTCAGACCCAAATGACCTGACTAACCACTTTGGCCCAATTTTGTTCATAGCCTTTCAAGAAGAACGGGACCACCAGGAAAGCTAAAAACACTACTTTCGGAAAAATCCTCTCGAGTTTCAGGAGCCTGCTGAAGAGAAAACGAGACCATGACACAAACTAAAGAACCAATAACGCAGCATGGGCTGCACCAAGGGGCCGAGGTTCAAGCACTGCTTGGTAGCGTTCTCCAAGCAGCTGTCCTCCAGCTCCATCAAGGTCACGAGGACACAGATATAAACTGGAGATTAAAGAGTGGTATTAGGATGTATTTATCGCAAGTTGGGATAACAGTCCTGGCAAGGAATGACAGTGGCATCTTTCAGGAAGGTCTGTGAGAACAAGAGAGGCCGCACCAGCCAAACGACTTAAGGTGGGTTCCTGACAGTGGGGTAGATGAGATCATCCTCAGGCTCCTTGGCCTTCAGAATTAATGTCCTCCTTTCCAGCTGGAAAAGGGTCAGAAGGTCCCACAGCCCTGGCACCCACACCAAGCTCTCGGGGACCTACCCTTAAACTTCATGTTGGCAGCGTCATCCAGAAGTTCCTCCTTCATGGTGTTAAGGGTCTCGACAATCATGTCCTTCATTTCCTCCTGCTTTCGGTTGGCAATATTCATCAATGACTCATACAGCTCGTTCTCCTTCTTTCTCGTATATTCCAGACGTTTGGGAGTAATCTGCAAGTCCCGCTGCATGTCAAAGGCCTGGTTGATGAAGATGTCCAGGCAGCGACAGTGCACAAGGTTCAGGGCCTTGGCTGCATCCACCAGGCGTGTCTGCAGCAGCTGGTGAGAAAATGTGCTCAGGTGTCTCAGCTTCTCACTCTGCTCCACCAACATGCTCTGGGCTTTGGCGTCCTGGCCAGTGGCCCCACAGTTACAGTGACTGCTGCTCAGATAGCCCAGGTCGGTCAGCTGGCGATGAAGTGGCGATCTCTCATTCTCCACTCTTCTGCTGGAGGAGTTGATTATCTCCGAGTCCAGCTCTGGCACTTTGAAAAAGAACACGGGGAAGGGGAAACACTTGCGGATTTCCTGAAGCTCCTGCTCATCCCTCTCAGAGAGTTCATCTTTGCGGAGTGCATAGGTCATCACAGGTAAGCAATCGTTCACCAAGTCACCCAGAACATCCACTGTGGGCCGGAGGCTGTGGCACGGTGCTACGACAATGTCCACTTCCTGGAAGGGGAAGGGGGTCATGACAGCACTTCAGGGTCAGAACCAATCCTTGCCTCCCCAAAGTCCCACAGTGAGACTAATATCCAGACCTGGGATGGGGCAATGGGGCTTCAGTTGTGCCCCTGCATTTGCCCACCTCCTTCCTCGGCTACCAACACTGCCCAGTGCAGCCTATGCAGGTGGACACTCATCTGGAGAGAGTGAAAAACACAGAAGTAGAAAGGATGCTAGTCCCTCTCGCCATTTCAGGTAAAAAGAATACTCAGCCCCTGGCTTCCTTTGTTGCTTGGAAATTCCCACTGATACCCTCTCATGAAGAAATAAGACAAATAATAAAAGAAAGCATGGCTATGGAGATCACCAGAGAGGGACGGCATCAGCCTGGATCATTCTCCCCTTCCTGCACTGTCTCTCACCCCACCCCACCCCCACCTTTCTCACCCAGCCAACTCCCAAGCATCCTTTCAATCTCCCTGTGTAGGTCATACCCGCAGGGAGTCTTTCCTATTACACAATCCCAAGTGCTCTCTACTTCTCCTTTTCTATTGTTCTATACAGTCACAATTTATTTATTTAAAGCCCATTTCCCCCATTAGCCTGTAAACTCTTTGAGGGAAGGGTCCGTGTCTACCTTGTTCACTACTGTCACTCCAGTGTAAATCCTCGATGTTGGTGAATCAATCAATCAAGCATCAACCTAGAAGCCAGGTTTGCCACACATTAGTACTGTCCTACTCTTAAGAGTTTGCAGGTGTCTCAAAGTCTTTGTAATACCTTCATTTTCATGATCACTTGGTATGGCAGACACACAGGCCTGCCTTGGATATGCCTATCCAAGATTCAGCCTCTGGATTATTGGGAAGGCAATGTCCTCTACAGACAGAGACAGCCTAGAAGTAGGTGGAGCCACCAGGAAAGCCCCTGGGAAGGGGTCTCGATTCTACCAGGAAGTCTGCCCCCAGGTGTGACAGCCACAGCAGAAGTCCTCATTCTGCAGCCCCGCGTGGGGTGGGGGTGGGGGGCCAGTACTAAGCCTGATGAAGCAAAAGGGAACAGGGAGCTTGGTCCCTGATGACCACAGAGCTGCCACACCAGCTCAACTGCCTTGCTTCAGCCTTCTTTTATGTGAGGAAAAAAATTAACTTCTATCTTGCTTATGCAAGCCCCTGTTTTTCTGATGACCTGTTAAATATAACTGAACCCAATGATAATATACCCAAGCTCCTAAAGTGAGTTTCAGGAATGATCTTTGGTTTAGAAACAAACCTGCTAGAGGTCCTTTCCTAGCCAGATGTTTCTGCTCTGGGTTCTTCCTTCCTAGGGTCCTGAAGCACTGGAAGGCACATGTTTCTACCCACTGCACAGGCTGCTCCTCTGTAGCTCTAACACTGTCTGCTCTGCCTGGCACTCCAGGCCTCAAGGCTGACCTGGAGACTCACCACTCTGTCACCACTGTGGGCACACCAACTCCCGATGCCTGGGGGTCTGCAAACTCACAGTCAATTCTCCACAGAATTCTAGTATATTTCACAGTTATAAATGAACTTAACACAAATTTGCTCAAGTCCTGAACAGTTATCAGGTGTTGCAAATTTACTTTATTTGAAATATAAAGATAAGCAATTGTTTATTTTTCTTTCAGGCTAACATTCTATTTTCATTCCTTGCCTTATATGAACAGTATTTTTTATGAAAAAAATTTTATAGTCAAAATCTGGAACCTTTTCCTTTTTGACCTCCTTCTCTAGATAATAAGAAAAGACTAGGGAATGCCAGCCTATTCTATTGTTTCTTGTATACTGTTTGTGTGTTTGTAAGAGAGAAAAGAGAGATCTCTCATTCCCAAGAAAGTACAAAGGTCTCATCTTCTTTCCCAACAAGAGCTTTTTATTCTTTGTAAGGTGATTTTTAGTCTCAGGTAGGTCACCTAACCCATTCAGCTGGCCACTGTGGACTCCATAAAGCTAAAAATGCTTTTAATCTTATTATGCTGATGGACAGTGACTACAATGGGGTGTGGGGGGGACTTGATAATATGGGTGAATGTAGTAACCACAGTGTTGCTCAGGTGAAACCTTCATAAGATTGTATATCAATGACACCTTAATAAATAAACAAACAAATAAATAAAAGTGCTTTTAGCATCTCACCATTCTTAATTTGAGCAAACATTTAAAAAATCTACCTACTTCCCATTCAAGACTAGGCCAAGAAGAAATTTGGCCTCAAAATGCCTGTTTCTTCGTGCCTCAAAATGCCTGGAGTGTTCTCTGGTTGGAAGACTAACACTCTGGCTGTTCAAAACAAACCCCTTTTCACTGCACTGAGTCACACTGCTGGCATGTGAATCACTTCATGAGGTGTATTCAAAAAGTGGGTAAGAACTTTGAAGATTTAGAGTAGCACACACAGTTGCCTAAATGCCAACCTTATGCTTACATATAATAATTTGATAAAAACTAGAAGAGAATCCCAAGAAATAAAAGGTTATAATAAGGTACGGAATTACAGGTAAAAATGTTTTTTAAGATATTTTAAAATTGTAAACCTGTCTTAAACATACACATTTTTGAAGAAATAAAACAGTCAAACTTATTAAAGGAACATTATAGAAAGAACACCTAAATATTCTAAACCAATTAAATGAGTATGCTTTAGAAAATTTTCAGGAAGAATTGTATTTGATGGATTTTCTTAAAATTCTAAAGTAAGTTTTCAGGTTTTTCTCAAAGGTCCATTTTGTGTGTGCAACAGAACAATTGGCCAAAGCTGCCAAGTCCATTTCTAGAACCAGTATTCCTTCTAAGAGATAGCTGACCTTATTTGCTTATAGGTGCAGATTCATTTCTTTTGAAAAAATGGATTCAGGGCTTCGAATGGTAGGTATTGCCTGATACATTGGCACCTAGAAAGAAGATGTCCACTCCTAAATACATCTTGTACCAAAGAAAAATGGACAGCAAACAAGTACTATGCCCTCTTCTCCATTCCCCAGTTAGCTATCTTATGCAGTTGGTCTCACGGTTCTATCACGACTGCTAGAAGACAGGTAAAAAGGGCTGCCAGCTAAGACCCTGGCAGCTGTACAGATCAGACTGGATTGGGCCATGCAATCCTGTAATACTTACAAGTGAGGGGATGACTCATGCCTGATGATTATAAACAAAAAGTGAAGCCAGCACTGCCTCCTGGAGACAGGGAGTGAAAAACTCATAACATAGAAAGGATGAGCCAGACCTGTTCTAGGCCCTCTGGCCACCTGAGGGAAGCCTGACTTCAGGCTGTCTGCTTCATGGGAGGTTTCATTCCTTCCTAGCACCTGGAACAGTGCCTGGCACTTAGCATCCAACAAATAATTGTGGAATGAATGGATGAATAAACAATGCCTCTACCACTTGCTCAAAACCACTTGCAATAATCATATGTAAAATTTTCAGTCTTTCACCCCATCCCACACGTTTGTCTGCACTTGTGTTTGCCTGTATTCCAAGCGTGCAGCAGTGAGTACGCATTTTGCTCCTAACTTGGTCAAGGAAAAAAAATCTCATGGACTCAGGAGAGTATCCCATAATTCCCATTTAGAGTCACAGTGAATTCCTAAAGCAATTTTTCTTACAGAATGCATTATTCGCAAATCGATGGAATCTACAGAAGTTGATGTTACCGCCAATTCTCTTGGCAAGATGAAGAGACTGCAATAGAAAGGAGACTGCTACTCTGCAAACACAAGAGCACTGCTCTACAATTCACCTCTTCGGATTGTTTCTGATGTAAAATGACACTACCTTAGATGCCAAGAAGAAACTGCTCAATCACTGAAGCCTGGCCACTTCCTAAGAATATTGGCTCTTATTGGTGAAGGCTCCTTACGTTACGGCTCAGGGCACATCACAAAAAGTCAGCTGTGACTAAGGATGATTAAATTAACTGATGATTCAAACTGAAGACATTCACGTACTGAGGTACGGCACAGACGTCTTTGCTTTCTCTATAGCTCTGAAGTCTCAGGTTTCATCACACACAAATGTACACAACTGCATACCAGTCCTGCCCTTGCCCAGCAACTGACAGTCTCAGCCTCAATCCCTGTGCCCATTCTACTTATCTTTCCTGTCAGTTCTCCTCCCACGCCATTCTCACAGGGCAGCTGAGAGGTTTTCTCCTGTTTGTTCTACATAGGGTTGATTCTTCTCCATTTTTATATAGTTCCCTGAATTCACCATCACTCCTAAATGTTAATTACATATTAAGGAAAATACCTCTCTGTTCTTGTTACAGTGTAGAAAATACCTTGACTCTTGTTGGTACAAACGTTCCCTGAGCAAGAGCTGCAACTGAACGGGTTTCTAGACTATCACACGCCTCCTAAGCAACTGGGACTATGTGAAGCCAGCCCAGAGCTTTATCCCAGGGGCGAACATAGAACGATGCAAGCTCACCTCCCTACCTAGTAAAAGTGTCCATGTCATTAACTCAGAGGCCAGAGCCAGACTTGGGAAAAAACACTGCACCCCCAAAGCCCTAAACCAGCCACAGAGAGCATGGAGACCACCACACTAAGAGTGGAAATGTATTTACAATCCCAAAAGCCCCCAAACAATGGCTTTCACTCGGCCCCTCAACTCATAAGCACGAAGCCCTTAAGGATCAGAACTATCTTCTCTGTACGTCACACTGTAAGGAGTCAGGTAGCAGACAAATTGACAAGAAGGTACTAGACAGCCTTTGTGCATTCTACTCTGTGGACATTCAAATATCCAGGCACCCACAGATACAGACAAAAGCAGGAATTTGGAGCTTTACTCTCCTACCACTTACTGGTTTCATTGAAAGAGAGACACAAAATAGTAGAATGTGAAAGACAAAAGGAGGGGAAAACTTTGCCTTTTAACTTTGTAACTTTAACTTTTGTATTACTTACCTTTTTATAACATCTTTTTCTCCCTTCATTTTATTACAAAAGTACTTTGTAATGAATTCTGAAGATCTCTGTTTCTCACTAGAGCAGAACTCCTTTTGACAAAGGGAGTTCAAATGTGGAAGGCTGTCAGGGAAGGGACGGGTGAGTGAGTAGGAAATCTCAAGGACACTGATTCATACATTCAGAGGGAGGAGGGAAGTGACTGTACGCCAGACACCATACTAATGCCTTACATATTTGAGCCTCATACCAATCCTATCCAGATTACGACCCATCTTACAAACAGGGAACTGAGCACCAGAGTCACACAGTCAGTTAAGGGACAAAGCCCAGATGTAAATACAGGCCCATTTAACCAGTCACTGGAGGTCCACTGTGCGCAGGGCCAGTCTGGGCTGGTGTCAGGGAAGTTCTGAAAGAAGAATAAAGACAAGATGGTTTCAGGCACCCTAACAATCCGAGTGCTCTATGTCAAAATGTAAGTGCTGGTTACAAAGTAAAGGCCCTGCTCTGAAATAATCCTGCATGGATTGGGTGAGATATCAGAAAAGTCAAAAGGAAAATATTTTTAACAGCCCCAACAACAGAGTTGTTGGTACTTTCAACTTAACTGAGTCTCTGAATCAGGGAAGATTCCTATCCCCACCAACAGATCTTTGAGAGAGTGAGAACAGAGAGGGAAGCAATTGGTGCAGGAAAAAGGTGGACAGGACCCCAGAAAAGAGCAGACAAAATGAGGAAGATTAAGACTCTAATACTCTGTCAGATTTCCTCCCCATGAGCTAACCTTGGGAGGCCAAAAATGAATCAGTGGGTGGTGAAGTGAGAAAATACAGCCTTACCTTCAAGTTATTCTTTTTAAAAGATATCAAGGCTACTATTCAAGCATAGAGATTTTTATAAATCTTGCCTCTAAACCACACATATCCCCAACTAACCTGTAATAGGTATTCCCAGATTTGTTAGTAAAGAGCAACGTATGCAGGATGGTTACATTTTACTATGTATGTTAGTGTGTATTGGGGGAAAGGCATGAGGTGTTAAGAGTCAGAGAATATGGGATTATTGCCTAGAAGGAAATTATCATTTAGCATTTGCCTGAACTTCCCATATCCTTTTTTAACATAACCATTTTAGTTCCCCTTTCTTTTTGCCCCATAAAATCATGGTTTCTTTATTTTAATTCTCTCTCTAGAATATCATTCTTTATTTCTCTATCTTATATATATTACCCTAACTTCTTTTCCCTTGAAATGCCCATCCGGGGCCTAATTCCATATACCATCTCCTTCCAAAAGTATCTTGTGGCCTGACACCCTCACCAGGTTTCTTTCCTGTTTTTTAACCAATCAACCATTATCTTTCAATCTAGATACATTCAAGCTGAGATATGTTACCTAACTAATGGTAAGCAACATAAGAAATTTGTAAGGTGCCATAATAAATTCCAATTACTAGACAAAAATTGAGATAAATTAGTTTTCTAGCAGCCAACTGTTCAGTAAATTTTGGTGTTAAAATTTTACATAAACTTTTGTCATTTTAAGGAAGATAAATGATTTTAAATGATTTGGGTTGTGAAGTTATTAATTGCTGAGAAATTTAAAATATCGATGTCTGTATGACATTGAAAATAGAGAATTTCCATTGACAGCTATTGATTGAGGGTATAAAGAGAAAACTTTACTACTCTGACAGGTTAAAGTTAAAATAGAAAAAAAAAAGTCTATTTGCAAGTCATCAGACCTTTCCTGGAGACAGTATTCTATCTCAGTTCCCTGAAATACACCCTACCAGACATGACCATGAGCCAATGACCACGTCTGCACGGGCAGTGTGGCTGCCAAATGACACATACATTTGTCCCAGGGGCCAGAAAACACCTGATGGGGATAAACAGGCTACTGATTAAGACCAGAACAAATGAGAGCAATGAAATGTCCCCAATAAATGAAATGGCACTACTAGGCTGCAGGAATCTCATCTCCAGTTGAGGAAGTTTAATCCCCTCTGCTCCTTTTTATTCCTTTTCTTGTTCATAGGGGAAAAAACATGCACTCACACATCAGATTAAAGCAACTCTGAGGCAGACAGGTGTGTTCCACTGGGTTTATAACAGGAAAAGTAAATGAGAAAAGAGGTGGTAGATGTGCCACAAAGGTGGTGAACGTGGGAAGGGGAAGCATGTCTCAGATGAAGACAGAACCAGCCAACAGGGTGATGGTGAAATGTGTTGCCAACTGGAAAATGACTGTTTTAACGCTATGCAAACAAGGTTTCAGAAACCAAAAGCTGGAGAGTGTTCCTCTATTTTGAATTATAACCTGACAATCTCAGGGGATCCAGGGCTAAAAAGCTGGGAATATCCAGCACTATGAGTCTATGAGTTGGCCTCGTCTGGAACAAACTAAAAATGGCTAATTTACGGGGGCTTTAAGGCTTAGAAGAATGACCATTGTATGAAAGAGTTAGGGGGAAACTCTGCTTTGATAATTTGACAGTTGAAAATTAACATCTCATTTCCCCTAATTCAATCTTGGTTTCCTTTAGCTAAATTCCCTTTCTTTACCACCCCTTTTACAAACCAAATGGAAGGGCTGTTTAGAGCTAACTCACTGGTCCTAAATATAAGTGGAGCTAAAGAAAAAGATCTTTCTCACTACAGCAAAAAATCTTCACAGTAGCTGTGAAATGCTCCCAGCAGTGAGCTGAGCGTGACTGATGTATTTAACAGAGACAGGAGCCTGACCGAAAAGACAGAGCAGGGCCTCAGCTCCACAAAGGCTGCACAGGCCCCTCTAAGGCTCAGCATCAAGGCTACTAAACTTAGAACCGTTGGGGTGCGTTGCTATTTCTACATCAAAACCGTAGGAGAATAGAGCAGATCTGGAGAAATACAGGCTAAGGAAGCCTCATAAACCACATAAAACCGAAGACGAAAGGCTAGAGAATTCCTCAGGATGATAAAAATACTCCTCAAGAAAAAGAATATATATTTCAACTGTGCGGAGAGCTGATCTGGTATCTCAGCTTCCCAACTAAGTCGTCTCTCGATTGTCACCTCAGTTTGAGGGCTGAGCCCCTATCAGAAGCTGGCTTTGAGAACTCTCACCAGTAAGTCACGTGCTCGGTTATGTACCTGGAGAATGGTTCTCATTTTCCTTCCTGCGACTTTCTTGTATAACCTCACTTCATGGAACAAAATTAAATGAGCACTAAAAATTAAAACCAATGAAATGAAGGAACACAGAGAAATCAATCAAATAATTTGCCTCTCCTGCAGACGGCTTTGTTCACATTCCAAGATTATTTTGAAAGGCAAGAATAGGAAAAATCGCCACCTGACCTACAGCAGATATTTTAGCTAGTTAACAGCATTTCTTAAGCTGCAGTCACAATATATTGGGTCATGGCATCAATTTAGTGGGTAACTACCATCTTTCTTTTAATGATGTCAACATAGCATAGGGAAGAATTTTCAGTGTATTTCACAAGAAGTAAAAAATACTGTTTCATGAAACTTCATTTAAAATGTACACATGTATATATATATATACTGAGTTCTGATATAAAATGTTATTTCTTACAGATTAAAATCTAGAAGTCTGAAAACCACTGAGCTATTGGTAACTTAAAGGAACTAGACCAGGACAGTCTACGACAGAGGCTGTATATGGATCGCGAACTTATGAATTGTGGAGAAGCTCATGGATCACCTGAGTGACCTCAGTCATCAAACAAGGAGTACTGTCAGAGCTACTGCCAGTGTTATCCAAGAATTGCACCCTGTCCTAGAGCTAAGAAGAGCGAGCTCTCAGTCTAAAAAATGAGGAAACCCACCACTGAAGCTGAGCTGACAGAAATTGCTGGCTTGTATGCACAGCCCCTTCTAGCATTTATCAAGATCGAAGAAATCTGGACTCTGGAAGGAAAGGAGATGATGGTTTCCACTTCTAGAGTCATGGGCCATGGTCACAACCAAAGGATTCACTCACTGACTGAGAGATCAAGCCTTTCAGAACAGGGGTAGGTGAAGACGTGGAAGTAAAAAGAGACAATTTCCTAGTCTTGCCAATTTAGGCCTTCCTTCCCTGGCACAGCTAACCAAGCCCGTCTGCATCGTTTCATTCCTTCCTACTCCTGACCCTGACATAGTCACACCTTTTGTTGATCCCCATTCAGTCTGATCAGATAGCCCAGTCCTAGCTACAAAGCATGAAAAAGAAGCTTCAAACAGGAGATGACGCCTTCCTAAGCAGAGGTAGGCGTACCAGATAGTATGAGCTCGGAGGAGATGCCACAAGACCCGTGCTCTCTGTGGGAGTTCCCTTCAAGAGAGAAGCGAAGATATTCTTCAGAGGACGGTTCCTCCGTGTCTCTTCACGTTGCGTCAAACCCATCCTCATGTTCCCAAGCTCCTTAGCAAGTAGAAGACGTGATTTGTCCCACTTACTAAATAATGGCCATGTCTATGGAAAACTCACAGAGTTCTTCACATGGTCTCACTCTAGTGAGAATATTCGTGATCCATCATGTTATCGCTCCTGTTAGGAAGGATGGCTTAGAGACAATTCTAGCAACACCTTCCTGGTAAGAAATGAAAAAATATTTCTAAGCCTGATCATAATTATTCTGTAAAAGCAAGTCAAGATGCAAGTATCACATTCTTCCTATTTTAGGAAGGGAGATAAGGAGGCAAGAAGTCCGCCAGTTGCTCAGACCTTGCAGCACAGGAGCTGGGGCAGGATGGGCACCACTGTGGCCTACTGTGTTGTTCACCTTCCTGGGTTATGTTCCTTTGACTCCAGCAGCTGATGTTCAGAGCCCAGAGCACACACTGCCAAATTACCTTCTGAGAGAGCTCGAATAAAAGAAAAGCTGGTATGTGTGTGTTGGATTGTGTAAGTATGAGCTTGGTACCTGTAAGAGGGCATGGTGCATCATCACCTCCAGTTCGGCTAAAACATGGGCAGCATCCTCACTGCCCTCTTGGACCTCCAGGTCCTCCTCAGGGATGGTCTCCCAGGTGCCCTGGTGAGCAACCAGGGTGTGCACTAGTTCGTACTGGCCGGGAAGCGCCAGGCTGACCCGAGTCTGGGTCCCATAGGTGAAGCGGAGGCGCCGAAGCTTACAGCTCTCCTCGCTGCTCAGCTTGGTGGTAGGGAGCACCTGCACCCCCAGCAGCAGGTTCAACAGCCGGCACTTGACGTGACAATCCTGGCCGAGGACTAAGATGCAGGGGAGGTGGTCCACCATCTGCTGGAGGTACTTCTCTTCCTGAGGTGGGAAGGAAATGCAGCTCAGCCGGCCTGGTTGGGGAGGGAAGGTGAAGGAGAAAGGAGTACAGAGAGAGGAGTGAGGAAGGGTAGGCAGAGACCCACACAGGACCCCATTCGGACGCCAGGGTCCTACAGAAGGAATTCTAGGAAGCTCTGGGTTGAATGAGATGCCAGGAAAACATCCCAGTCAGAAAATGCTCCTCAAGCGACAAACAGAGTCCCCTGTCCTGGTTCACCCCCAGAGCAGTGGTTTCTCTCCAGGAAGGGGGCAGTAAGTTGACCTCCCCTCCCCTCCTTTCTCATCAGTGGAGGGCCAGCCTAAGGAGTTCACAGGGACTCAGCCACAACCAGAGTCACTGAATTGACAGAGCCGGGAAGATACACTAACTGGGATGTGTGTGCACGGAGAAACTATGCCTGAATATGTCAAAATGAAACCTTCCTTGAGACAAAAGACCTGATACTTGAACATGTAAGGCCCTTTTCAATGTCTCTGCCACATGCAGTTTTCACTTATTTTCCTCGCATTTTATAACTAAATGCACAAGCTAATCCTTAAATACACATATATTGAAATAAAATGTTATTCAAGTTTGCATAAGTTAGACTCTTTCCAGTTCCTCTCTCTGATAGCTGGTGACAGCATCCCAATTCATCAGGTTTCTTAAAACTTCAGATGCTCGATTAAGATCAGTACTTCCTAACCAAATCACATTCTTTCTGATTATGGATGACAAGACCCTGAGTGAGAAAGAACAGCCTGTTGGGATAAAATCCAGGCAAATCTAGACAATCAATCTCAAAAACATTCTCTCAGGACAAGCACACTCACCTAAATGGCTAGCTCCCACACATACATCCAACAGGATTCAAGGAAGAACAAAAGGCTCCCTGAAGTATGAGAACCTCTGTTTGGGGAAAGGAACTGGAAATGAGCTGGCTGAAGCTCTCAAATTCTGAACCCGATCATTCCTCTTCTTGCTCAGTACCAGTGTCTGCCCACACCTATGACTGAGGCAGGGCCTGCTCTTTTTACAAAGACACAGAGGCACAGCTCTTGGGCTGTAAGGAGGCCTATCTCTGAGCCAATACATACATCTTAATTGAATTTTAGGTGGTACCACTGACATAGCACTCACTTTAGTCACTTGATCACGAGCTTTTAATCCAATTTTAAGCTGTTGATTTGTTGATGTAAGAGAGGCCTGATTCATGCTGAGGCTGTTCTACTTCAGACTGCAACGAGCCTGCTACAAATTTAACTATTTCAAATCCTCAAAGCTCCTCTTCCACAAAAGGCAGCACCGAAAGGTTTAAAGGAGTCTGCTTTTGCCCAGGCTTCTCCGTGCAGCTCGTAAGCCCCTCCTTTCCTGTGTGTTAGTAAGCCCACCACTGGCTGCTGCGCATGTACCCCGCAACATCAGGCACAGAAACGAGGAAATTCACCCTCCCAGGAAAGAAAGGGGTGCCTTTGAAAAAACAAAGAGCATTACCTGAGTGCCTAATTCTGTGTAAGGTATTCACGAAACACAAGAGTAAAACACCGACCACTGCTCTAATCTTTGACCTACAATCTAAAAGCCAATTGCTGTGTGACCACTTAGCAAGTAGCAGTGGGCTGGTCCTGAGTCCCTTCATATCTTGTTCACAAATGAACAACACTTAGTGTATTCTATTCTAGTTACCTGGTTATAATTATCAAAAGCAGAAAGAACCATCATTTTTCTCTCTATATCCTCAACACCGAACACAATGAATGACCACAGTAAGTGCTTTATGTTATGCAATTGTTTGTTCTGTTTCAGGATCCATTTATTGTGGAGAACTGTCTACAGAAAGCTCCAGGTGGTTCCACTAAGTAAGTCCAGGACCATGATGAACAGTTTAGACACACTCATAAGAACTTCCTTCATCGCAACATGGAGAACACATGTGGATAACAGAATAGAACCTCCCCATGCACTGTGCAGAATTTAACTATCACAGTCTCAGCCTGAGCAGAGAAAACCCAGCTGGATTCACTCTCATCTACATTTCCCTCTTTCCTCTTTCCCAGGCCCCTCAGATTCTCAGATGTCTAAGTGTAGATATAGACTGACAACTTTCATAATTCCTGTAACAAGAGCCGGTATGTAGTAAAAAATAATGGAGTGGATCATACAGAAGAAACCAAATAACCATTATTCAGGACCAAAGGGGGGATCTCCACACTTCTAAGATAGTGTCAACTACAGGAAAGCCAATAAAACATGCAGCAGCTGCCAAGACCACAGCAGACACACCCCATTATTCATCTGACTCAGTTACACCCCCCAATCTTTGCAGTGATAAAACAGTACTACACATAAACCTACTGGTGTCAACCAACAATAGACCAGTGCAGCGGGGACAGGGACCGACACTGCGCCCAGTTCTAATTTTTGCTTCTATGCGTCCTGTTAGGATTCTATGTGCAACCTGCCAGACTGAAGAAGGAACTTCAATGTGGATATCGCCACTTGTTTTTCAAAATGTCATATCCAAGCCCTCTGCTTCTCCCACTAATCTTTAGCTTTCTCATTGATCGCCACTATGTCCATGAGATTTGAACAAGGGCATGGAGAGAAACGAGTCGAAATGAGGTGGCTTCACTCCTGGCTCCTCCAGCCCAGGGTTCTGGGAGGGAGGCGCGTGCCATCGAAGTGGGCAGAGCACTAGTGCGGAGGGCGGGTATTCTGAGCAGCGCTGTGCCACGGACTAGCTCTGGGACCCTGGCAGTTCACTTGATTCTTCTCAGCCTTGGATTTCCCATCTGTAAACTAAGGGAGTTGGATTAGATCATCTTTAACATCCTTTCCAGTCCTAAAAATCCAGAATTCCATCAGGTTTTAACTGTTGCAAGAAAAATCATTGGGGAGTAGAGGGATTGGGTGGCTGGTCTCCATGCTTTTTTTCACATTATAGGTGAATCTAATTATGCGAGCTCTCCCTGGAGTACTGTTAACTGAGGATCAAAGAGCCGACTGAACTAGCCAGGGGCTCTAGGGAACTACAGTGCAATTTTAAGAGTTCTCTGAAGAAGAGATTAAAAACTGTGGACTGTCAGCAGGAAGGGGGAGGAAAACCTGCGCCGAGCAGGAGCAGCTGCCTCCCTGACAGTTCAAGGGCTTCTGAGTTAATGGGTTTTCTTTGGTAATTAATACAGCAGCATCTGCACACGGGGCTGCCAGAAGGTAACAGCAGGGCCTCTCAGCTGGATGCGTCAACCCTGCCAACCGAGGGCTGCAGGAAAAGTCGATTCAAGTTGTCTTCAACGCAAGCCAAGGCTGGTTTTCCCTCCATGGGTCTTAAATACAGATTATCTTGAGGGGGGAAGGGGAAGAAGAGCAACGAAAGGAGCAACCTATTCTGTTTGTTTGTTTTAGATAATTAAGGGGAGCAAAATACACCACCACAAAATATGCCTCTTTGACGTACTGAGTCTTTGAAACTGGTTATTTTTATGAAAGAGCAGAGGCAAGCAAGACTGCAGACGGAGCAGAATTTTTTTTTTACCAGAGGGCAACTTCTCTTTTACGCACATAAGGGAAATCTCCATTTATAAGGGTGTCTCCCTCTGTACTAGCAAGAAAAAGACGATCCTCAATTTCCAGGGCCTTCTCAAAGCAAAAGGCACCGGCTTAATCTGCATAACAACCTTGCCCTTGTCTACTGCGCGGCCTGGTGGCCTCCTGTAAGTGTCCCCATCTTCCGTCTCTAGCCGTAGACCTTATTTACGGTGGTGGCTCGGGCTGTTTTGGAGTTACTTGGTTTTCCAGGTCTCTCCCATGTGTACAGCCGGGTACACATGTCATTAAACTTCTGTTTGTTTTTCTGTTAATTTTTCTTTCCATCACAGAGGAGTCTCAGGGAGAACTTAGAAAGGGAGAGGGAGAATTACTCTTCCTCCCTGACGAGAACATTTACTAAGCCCTCTCTAAGTACGTCCCTTTATTTGCATCATCTCATTTATGCCCACAACCCTTTCAGACAAGGACTGTTACTATCTTCATTTATAGAGGAAAACAGTAGCTTAAAAAAAAAGAGAAAGAGCCCTGTTTCTCTATTTATCTAAGCAGACAAGAGCAGTGCTGTACCTACGTCTCTAGAGGCCAACCTCACCTGGTAGACAATGTCGCTGAAGGGTGGCAGAATGCGCCATCCCAAAACATGCCACTCTGATGTAAGGGTTATTTTGAGCTAAAGACACCTGACACACAGCAGGTATAAGGAGGGCACTCTGACTTCCCATTTTTCTTCCTGAAAGCAGGAGATAAAACCCTAATTTGGAAGATGTCTTCCCTATACCAGAAGGAAAGCAACATTCTTACCACTAGAGCCCAGGAGCGGAGGCCAAGAAAAACCTGTACAAGCAAGCCTGGCGAAGCTAACCTCCCCCTTCCAAGTTACCTGTGCGCTGTGAACAGCTCTAGTCCGAGACCCTTCGTCTTGCCATGTTTTCATAACTTACTTCTTTGTCCAATTCAATATGTAAGTGTACGCATTCAATTCTGTTTCTTTGGGTCCCCATTCTCTTGTGGGGACTCCCACATACATGCACAATTTAATAAAATGGGTATGCTTTTCTATTGTTAATCTGTCTTATTCAGTTTCATTCTCAGGCCCAGCTGAAGACCCGAAGAGGGTAGAGGAGAAATTTTTTCTCCTGTAAACACCCCCGACACATTTTTTTCCCAATCTGGGGCCAAACACAACTTAACCCTAGGACCCCAAATTTAAAGCAGACTGACAGAGTCCCTATAAAAACTGTCCCAAACCGTGAAGAATAAAACCTGGGGAGTAAAACACAGTATTCCCACCAGGTGCTGCATGCATTTCAAAAGTGTGATCGTTATTACTCCACCTAAAGTGTCCAGAGTCCATTCTCTAAAAGAAACCTGTTTTCAGAGAAATGTTTCATGCTCCTCTTATCAGTCAGTGTGTATTAATTACCCTTTGAGCTGGAGTTTGAGGTCATTCTAAAAAGGGAGTGGGGAGTGAAGGAACGCTAA